GGGCGCTCCGGCCACCAAAACCCGCTCTTTGAATTCAGAGTCTGCCCTGCCCGCCCTGGCCTCCTCGCAGGATGAGCCCCAAGTGCCCCTCAGCCCTGACACGTGCCCGGCGCCCTGGGGGGTCCCTGCACCTCGAGGCCTGGCTGCTCCCACTGTGCAGGGACATGGCCATCATCCGTGCTTCCCAGCCCGAGGGGAGAGCAAGGGCTGTCCCCCGAGGCCTGGCCTCCCCCTGCGGTAGCTGGAGCCGCTGCCCGGGCAGCAGGCCGCAGGCCGGGCCCAGGGGTGATAAGCCGGCCGGAGCCACAAGGTCACCTGGTGGCAGGGCTGTGGGAGCTACTCGGAGGGCACGGCGGAGCCCAGGCCGCTGCGGCGGGAGCACAGCCTGGGGGAGGCCATCGGGCGCCGTTGACGTCAGTCTCCTGTCCCGGAGGCGGCCAGGCTGGAGGCAGGGCCTCCCCATCTCCGGCCCCGGGCAGATCAATCGCTGGGACCTCGGAGGGCAAGGGCGGCCGACAGCCCCTCCATCACGGCCGCTGGGCCTCCCGGGCTCCCCCGGAGATCTGAGCGGAGGGACCTTGGCGGGCGGCTGTCGCCCCATCTATCACAGCGGAGGCTGACAGCCGCGGCCTTGCCCTGACAGCCCCCATCCGGCCATCACCGACAGTCCCTTGATGTAGGAGGTGGGCCAGGGCCTGGGGCTGAGCAAGAGGGGCCCCGAGCCCTCCTGCTGGGCCCACATGGAGCGGGTTGGCCTGTCCTTTGTCTCTGGGGGGAGCTGGGCCCCGGCCCCTCTGAGCCTGAACCCCCTGGCATAAGCCACCGGGGGCCATCGGGCCCAGGGCTGCCCCACGGTGTCCCCAGGGGAGGCTGTGTGTCTGAGGAGGGCAGCCTGGGAGGAACGGGGAGTGGCCCCCGGCCCGGACTTGTGGTGACGGATTGAGACAGTCTCTGGGTAGACAGGACCCCCTGTGATGCCTGTGCACCCCGACCACGGATCTCACTGTGAGAACTGCTCATACATGCACCAGCCACCGGCCCCAGCGCCGGGGGTCGGGATCGCCCATAGCCAGCCGGGAGCCCTGGCAATGGGCCATGAGCACAGCACCAGCCCTGGGTGCAGGCCGGCCCAGCGGAGTCCACGCTCCGGGCCTTCCTGGTCTGGCCCGAAATTCCCGAGGCCCCTGACGGCTCCCCATGCCCTCGCCCCGGGCTCCCCTGGCACAGGGCCGA